TGATGTAGATATTTGTTTTAGAACTGCAAAGTACGCACTTGCTCTCCAGAGGATTTACCCCTCTTAATGACCATGCCTCTTTTTGCTACTCAGCGCTGCATTAATTCAACTGATAATTGTGCGGTCGTGCAATGCTGTACCCAACCGAAATTTACGTCCTTTTTTTCACACAAATAGAGATTTCTTTCGATGGTATTTGATCACCTGTGTGCTTTTTATTTTATAAACAAAAAAAGACCGAAATTTTTGGCTATAAAAAATATATAGTAAACTCAAATTTAGTTATGTGCGAATTCTTGGTGGTTGCAGGACAATACTTGTGCTCGCCACCGCACCAGGTTGTACTGCACTTATGGGACTCGCAACGCCACCAAGTGATACTGCAGTGCTGGTATGTGAAAGACCAAGATGTACTAGTCCGCTGGTGCTCGCCAGTTCACCAAAAGGTAGAGCGGGCACTAGTACTGGCACTCTGCTGCATATGAGAGTCATAAAAATTTACCGGCAAGTGATAACAGAGATCAGGCCTGATTCTGCAAACACTGCGGATTTGTGTGCGATGTATCAAGTGACAGTGACCTACTGACACTGCACCTGCTGGGGGGGTTAAGCGTAGGGGCTAAATGCAGGCACTAGCAGGTGCCGGGGCTGATCCTGCTAACGCTGCGTTTTTGGGAACACTATACTAATGTGAACGCTGGTATAGTGCTGATCTGATCAAAGATATTGATCCATTCAGACACTATATTAGCAATGGAGGTTCATTGCGTATGAGCGTGTTCCTGGCAATCAAGGGGTTAAACGTGATGACTGGTGTACTGAAGGGCAATCTGACGCTATCTGGGGGGGGCGTGAAAACCACAGGAGCGTGAATCACGTATATATATATGTGATTTTGCGCACCCGTGCCGCCCTGTAGCAGTATTTCTGCTATAGGGTGGTCAGGAAGCGGTTACAGAAGAGGTTTGTGTTACGGCGCTGCATTACTTTAACTGAAAATTGCACGGTCATGCAATCTTGCTCCAAAATTAAATTTATGTCCTTTTTTCTCCATAAATTGAGCTTTCTTTCGGTGGTATTTGATCGCCTGTGTGTTTTTTATTTTTTTGCGCTATAAAAAAAAAGACCGACAATTTTGAGAAAAAAAAACAATATTTTGAACTTTTTGCTATAAAACATGTCCAGTAAAAAAATTTAAAATCAAATTTCGTCATAAATTTAGACCAAAATGTATTGTGCTGCATATCTTTGCTAAAAAAAATCCTAATACGTGTAAATTAATTGGTTTACGTGAAAGTTATAGCGTTTACAAATGGCGGTATAGATACTGGATTTTTTTTATACTAATAATAGCAGCGATCATCGACTTATGGCGGCAATCAGCAACTTATGCCGGGACTGCGGCCGATATTCTGATACTGGGGGAACTGACTTGGGGTCACTGACATCCCTAGTGACACAAATACAGTGATCAGTGCTAAAAAAAAGCACTGACACTGTACTAATGGCACTGGGGAGGAAGGGGTTAACCATGAGAGGTGATCAAATGGTTAACTATGTGATGGGAGTGTTTTACCACGGGGCAGGGGGGTGTGTGCTTCACTGTAAGCACACTGAACGGGACGGCTGTGCTCAACCATCCCAAGCAGTGTGCCCAAACTGACAGGGAGGAGAGCTGCATTGTAAACAATGCAGCCATCCTCCATGTCAGTGTTTGGCGGCAATCACTGGGCTCCAGTGGATAATCACCTGCCGGGACCCTGTGATTGACTCCCTGGGCCATGATTGGCGGCGCGGGTAGGGCAGTCACGCGCCTCGTGTGTGCCCCCTACCTGAAAATGCAGGATCACATTCATATACGTGATCCTGCACACAGGGGCCGCTTTGTCACAGTATATGTACTGTGGGCGGTCCCCTAGTTTGTACATGGTGATTTCATAATATTTTCCTCAGAACTGAGTGATTCCATTTTGAGCCATGTCTGTGATTTTTTTTTTTCTACACAATTAAACAACTCAATGAACATTTTCCAAGAGAGGTGATTCTATACTTTTTGCCAGGGGTTGTACAAATTTGACAAAGGGTCTAACCCCAAACCACTATATCCAGCATTACAAAAAGCCTTTACATATACTTTTACTTTTTCTGTATAATCCCCAGCAGAATACACACATTTACAGGATCAGTGTGGAGGGGAGTAGGAGTGTACTTCCTGAAGCCAATGCTGTGTAATTTCTATTTTCTTTGGTTGCTGCCCAACTGGCTTTATTTTTTAAATTGTCGTTGTTATTTTTTTTATTTGTTTCATTAAGGCCAGGTTCATATCTATGCGGCCGTGCGGGAACAGATGTGGTCCTTCAGCGGCAATCACCTGCACAGGTGTGAACCTAGCCTAAAATGACACTAAATGATATCCTTATTCTCAATATAAATCCATAAACATCTGAACTCAATGGCCCTGTTATCTATTTTTCAGGATATAGTTTTTTGCTGTTTTTTTTTCTGCCTCCTTGTAACGTCCTCTGTTAGCTCCTGAACTTCTGGAAATGAGCAGTGCACATTAGTTGCGGTCATGTGCACTCCTCTATGCACAGCGCAAATCCCATAGTCCATCTCGGAGCAAGCAAGAGCTGGTAACTATTTTCCAACATACTGTGGGACCATGGAGGACTAACATAGCCACCCTCTAGCAGACGTCAGATCACAGCAGTAAAAAAAAAAAAAAAAAAATGGAATTTGGAGATTTGGAGACGGTTGAGAGCAAAAGAAGGTACTTATATTCTAAATTCTGACTGCACCCACTATTTATTTGTTACTGGTCATGAACTCAGAAGGTACTAAAGATGGACCTACACATTTCTGTACCAGTTTCCTTAAAAGCATCAGAGTAAAACCAAACCTCATCGGCTTCATTTTCCTCTTCTTTTTTTTCCTCGGTGATGTTATTCGGAGCTGTGGCTTTGTGCTTTGGAGACGTTGGCACAGAGGGTAATCCATGTGTTTCTTCATTATTTGTGTCTTCTTTATCATTATTCTCCTCTACTTGTATAAACTGGAAAATAAAATAAGTGCAATAGTTTGTTTTTAATCATGCAGTGAGTATTTTATCAACAATTTTATATATATACAGTATATACATACATATTCAGGGTATACTTTTTTATCAGCTTGATTCTTATCTTTTAAAGTTAATCTGTCATCTATTGAAAGAAAGGCTACTATGTTGTATATTGTGGGCTGAAATCATGGGGATTCCAAATGGCAGACAGCCAATCCTCCTAAAAGACACCTGTCATGAAACATGGGATTTAAAGCCCAAATTAATTTCCTGTTTAAGGCAGGTAAATACATTTCACATGCATCAAAACAAAAAGGTGAATTTACTGAAACTTAATCAGACAGAATTTACAGTAGCTGTGCACACTGACCAATCAGCTTCTAGCTTCAGATTCTGACTGCTCCAATCATGGTAACATTCCCTTATTTTGTATTAAAATTCTTATATCTTGTACTTGTTTTATTTACATAGATGCCTCAGTCTGAGTAGAAAAGCATGTCCCCTGCCAGCATACTGCAAAAGAAGACTCTTGCTCTCTACGTAGATGGGCCCCCTGAGTCAGAGCTAGAGCCCTTCCAAGTTGCAGAGTTATGTATAGGGTGTGTGTGACCTCTGCAGAAAGACCACTGTTTCCATATGGAGACCAGATGCCCTTCTCTGCAGCATGCTGGCAGTGGACAAGCTTTTCTACTTATGCTGTAGCTATTTTGTAAAAAAGAAAAAAAAATAACTGTAGGTTATGCACACCTTTAGTTCTGATGCATCTGGAATGTATTTAGCTGATTTACACTGAATGTTCAGAAAGGCCCCTTTCACACGGGCGTTCCATATGTCTGTTTTTCATCTGTCCGTTACGGATGAAAAACGGACCCCCAAGTATGGACTTGTGGATGTGAATGGATGAACATCTTTTTACATCCGTTAATGTCCACGTCTGTTAACATCCATTTTTTTGAATGGAAGAAAACCCTATTTTTCCTCTGCAAAAAAACCCCCTCACAGACGAAAAAACAGATGTCAACGAATGTAAACGGACCAAAACAGATGTAAACAGATGAAAAATGGATGTAAATGGATCTAAACAGATGAAAAACTGATGTAAACGGATGAAAATGGATGTAAACGGATGAAACACAGTTTAAAAAACAGATGAAAAAAAAACGGATGTAAACAGATGAAAAAATAGTTGTAAACTCGTCCTTTTTTTTTTTTAAATGTGACTGAACTGAAGAAAAAAAAACGGAACGCCCGTGTGAAAGGACCCTTACAGAAACTTTCCCACATGCACTGAACAGAAGATAAGGGTTTCTGGTGAAATAAGGATCACCAGGAGGACTGGACACTCACAGATGACCAAGCAAATACCATCAAAGTATTACTTGACATACCTTTGTATGTATTGCTTAGTAGTTGAAATAACATTACATATACATTTTTGGTCACACATAACTGTACCTGAGCTGTTGCTAGTGAATGATATATTCCTTTCTTCTCCATTAATTCCATATGAGTTCCCTGTTCAGCGATAGTCCCATTCTCCAACACTACAATAACATCTGCCGTCCACACTGTGCTCAAGCGGTGAGCAATGACAATTGTTGTACGACCCTCACTGGCCTAAAAAAATCACATTGTAATATTCATATCTTTTACAGTAACAAAATGTTACACTTGTGAGCCCTCAAACATGTTTGGAGAGTATATGACAGGAAGCAGAATACCAGAGTGAGAGGTTTGTTAACCACAGTGAAGCTGAGTAGGTTCAACTTGACCATCCAACCAGTAAGTGGTGCTCTTGGTATTTTAGTTGTGCTCCTGCTAGGTGGCCCAGGAGTCAGATATAATAATATTATTAAAATTAAAATATGCAGTCAATCCATATTGTTGTTAAACAGGTTTTTAGCTGATGTAATTAAAAAAAATATTAACCACTCTATTTGGCTCATGACCCACAAAGCTGCATTACCTTATCTAGAGCAGACTGTACGATGGATTCACTCTCTGTATCAAGGGCGGAGGTGGCCTCATCCAGTAAGAGTATCCTAGGATTGCGGACCAAGGCTCTAGCTATGGCTACTCTTTGCTTCTGGCCACCACTTAGCTGAGCTCCTCTTTCTCCAACTAGCGTTTCAAATTTCTAGAGTGTGAAAAAAATATAAAATAATATAGTAAGCTGGGAAATGCAATCATGTTCCCCGTTTCACTACAGATGGACATACAGTATATGGTAAGAGAGATATCTGCCCATATCCAAATGACTTGCATGAATGCAGGGACTGGAGTGATCATCACCTGGTGCTGACCCATGCATGAGTGGTACTAGCAGAGTGAGGAGATTTATTTTCCAACAGGTCCAATCAGTTACACAGATTTTGTCCTAAGCAGTGGCTGTAAGCAGGAAGTGGCATGGAAAATGATCACCACCTGTACCCAGAAGGATCTGATCCTGGTTATAAGTAAGTATTTCAACACTATTAATATGCTCTTTACCTTGCCTAGCCAGCAGCAAGGGGGAAGACAAGGCCTGCTGCAAAGAGGATTTAAAGTATGCTTTAAGCAAACTCAAGGCTGGAATAGTCCAAAAAAAAAACAAATTTAAATTATTGAGAGACACTTACATCAGGAAGGCCCATGATGAAGTCATATGCATTGGCTTCTTTAGCTGCCTTCTCAATTTCTTCATCAGTCACATTTTCTCGTCCAAATCTTATGTTGTTTTTAATGCTTGTTCCAAACAGTACTGGCTCTTGGCTGACGACGCCAATTAACTCTCTGTAGTGCCTGACATTCAGCGACCGTATATTATGGCCGTCAACTAAAATCTGAAAAAAAAATTAATAATAATAACATAGAATATGCAGGGAATACATGGTACTAGATGAGATTTCCTCAGCCATTGGAAGTTTTTTAATGAATCCTATGGAAATAAACTGATATATTTACCTCTCCTTCTTGTGGATCATACAGTCTCTGCAACAGCTGTACTATGGTGCTTTTACCACATCCACTTTGGCCGACCAGTGCCACTGTTTTCCCAGATTTCACTAATAAATTAAGTCCTTTTAAAACCTGAAGAATGAAAAATGTAAAGTGCTTCCAGTTAAAAAAAATCTAAGTACTACAAGTTTCATAATGCACCTATTTATTCACATGAAAATTAAAAAGATGAATAAAATATTAAGACCAAGCTTCGACAAGCTTACAGCTGTGTATGTAAGAGAAAAATGACAAAGAAAAAAATCTCTATCTTAAAGATGAATTCCAGGCATGGTATGTTTTTACATCCATCTTGGACCAATGTAACTATGTACAGTATATACCAAATCTGGCCAATCTTCCTGGACACTTTTTCTAAATGAATGCAAAGCATTCTCTAATTGGACAAAGTGGTGATGTCATCCCCCACCTCTCCACCTCATCCAATCAAAGAACACTGCATTCATTCAGAAAATGCAAAGCATTCTCTGAGTGGCGACCATGCCAAGTAGCCAACCTCCTGTGTTCACAATGTGTAACTGTGTAAAAAATATACCATTCCGGGAATTCTTCTTTCACTAGGTTGCCTGAGCATATTTATGTGGAAGACATTAGTATTGCATAACGAAATATACTATTTTGTTTACATTCTCTGGAACTAAGATAACTGGTGCCTATGGAAATCCTCATAACTACAATATATTGTGAAATCAGTGTGATGTACAAAGTTTAAAAAAGAGCTTGATTATTTTACCTGAACATTTGGACGTGATGGGTAACAAAAATGGATATTTCTTAATTCCACGTTCCCCTTCATAATATCTGGTCTGTATCCTTCCATTGAAAAGCTGTCAATTGCAGATGTCTGGAACCATCAGAGAGAGGCAAAATGTTAACTATCTGCTATAAAGGATAACTTTACTTTTATTGGGACTAATGGTGGACAGTCTTTACATGGAAATGAATTAGAATTCTACAAAGCATGCACGTTGAAGCTGGGAGACTTTACGTGAAGAGGCTGTGCAGCTCTAATCAGGCAGCACAATAAAGATTTCTAAGGATTGTGGATAGGTAAGTGTAGGGCAGAGGGTAGGGAAATATTGTGGGCTTGGAGTTATTTAAAGATTAATTGTATTAAATTTACACAGTCACTGTGTTGTGAAAATGTGCATTGTGCTGCGATACAAAAATGCAGCAGGTAAGATTTTAGGTCATTCTGGTATGTTAGGCAGCCCATTCAAATAAATGGATTGCTGTAACCCATGTTATTGTGAGACTAATGTGTGCCAACATGTGCACTAAAGGCAGACCAATGGACCCGACCACTGTGAATGGGCCTTTATCCTTTAGGGTAAATCGCAGAATATAACTATGGTAAGGTTATACTACTTGCGTTAATTCAATTTTTTCAGTATTGGAAGACATTTGCACTGGAATACAAAAAATATATGATTTTAGGTCATTCAAGTACGTTAGGCAGCCAAATCAAATAAATAGGCTGCTGTAACATATGTTAATGTAGAACATAACATACTGTACATTAACATGTGTGCATTAAATGCAACACAACAGACCTGACCAGTGTGAATTAACAATTATCCTTTATAGCAGGCATAACTAAATTTCTGACTTCAGTCTGGATCCGGACGGAGTGACAGTCCCATCCAGACCTGGTCTTTCTATTTTACCCTGCATTGTATAGATCCCTTTGCTGGCTCTTCTTCCCTGCTGCCACTGCCTTTCTCAGCAGGGAGCAAAGAGGAAGGCAGGTGGCATGGCAGCTCTGGATGGAGAACAGGAATTGCACAAATAACTTTTCAATTAACCAGGGGACATTGGTTGCTAGGACACAAATCGGTCCTAGCAACTGATTACCACCTTGCTAACTTAAAAAGTTGGGCAGCTCCAGCCCTCCATTGAGAGCTGCGCCTCTCGCCCTCCACCCTGTGCAAGGTAGGACTGTAAAAGGGGCTAGGACACTGCTGAGAAGGGAAGGGGGTGGGGGGAGTTGATGTGAAGGGGGTTAGGACACTGCTGTGAAGGGGGAAGGGTGTGCTGTTAAAGGGGCTGGGGGACAATGCTGTGAAGGGGGAATGAGATCTAATGGGAAATTGAGGACAATGCTGTGAAATGGTGACTGATGTAAGGGGGGGGGGGGACCATGATGTAAAATGGAAAGAGGGGGGGGCTGTGATGAAAAGAGAGGGGTCCTGATGTGAAGGGGGTTTGTGATGTGGAGGGGGGCTGTGATATAAGAGGAGGTGTGAGGACACTGGCGCAAAGGGGAGTATGTAATGCAAAGAAGGGGCTGTGATGTTCAGGGGTACTGAGGACACTGATACAAGAATGGGACTGTGATATGAAGGATCAGAGCTACTGCAGTCATTTTTGCAAATTACTGAACACAACTATAGTAAAGTTATACTATGTGCTTTAACCACTTCCTGTCTGGACACTTTTACCCCCTTCCTGTCCAGGGCAATTTTCAGCTTTCAGCGCTATCACACTTTGAATGACAATTGCGTGGTCATGCAACACTGTACCCATATGAATGTTTTACCATTTTTTTGAGACAGATAAAGCTTTATTTTGGTGGTATTTATTCACCGCTGGGATTTTAATTTTTTTTGCTATGTAAATGAAAAAGTCCAAACATTTTGAAAAAAAAGTGTTTTTCTTAAAAAATTTTGCAAATAAATAATCTTTCATCATAAATCTTGCCCACAATGTATTCCGTTATCTTTTTAGTAAAAAAAAATCCAAATTAGTTTTTAACCAAAAATTATAATTTTTAAACATTTGTTTTACATTTTTATTTTATTTTTTTAATAAAATGTATGTTTTTTTTTTTACATACTGTCACCCTAGCAGTACAGTGTCACTATGGTGATACTGTACTACTTGGGGGTGATAAAGATTTTTTTTTTTTTTTACAGTGATTGCTTTTACACCCATATAGGATGTAAAAGCAATCATTTCTCTTTCTCTCTGTCTGCATTCTTGCAGCCATTGAGAACTACTGAGTGAGCTGTGATTGGTCACAGCTTGTCACATGGTACAAGGCTGTTGTGAATAGCCTTGTACCATGTGATCTCTGTGATCATTCACAGATTTCACATGTAGTAAGCAATGATGTCACAAGTGACATCTTGCTTACTACTTTGCATGTGATCACTGACTGGCCAATCAGTGATCACATGATTGGGACCTCGCACAGAGGTCCCGTCCGACGATCAGTGTTTCACTGTGTCCGGAGGACACAGCGGGCACCGGATTGCAGTGATGCGTGCTCCCAGGGAGCGCACACAGCTAGAAATGGCAGTTGTCGTTTATGAACAGCAACCCGCCCCTGGAGTGCCACCGTCCTGCCGTTTATAAACAGCAGGTGGATGGCAAGTGGTTAAAAGAGAAATATATGTGGTTTAAAAAGAAACAAATTATACTCACCTAGGTGGATGCAGCATCGGTCCGATGCTGCATCTGTCCCCTGCCACTTTTAAGACTGAGAACTGAATGTTCAAAGGCCACTGATCTCTCGATTCTCAGCCTTAAGTGAGCAGAGAGATGTGACTGTAAATCACTGGCTCTTCTGCTCTGCCCCTCCAGCACTCACTGCAGCGCCTGGCTGTGGAGAGGGTGGGAGCTGGAATGCTGAGCCAGCTGCTGGTCCAGGCATTTAAATGGATCTCAACTTACCTGGACCAGCTGAGGTCGAGTGAGTTTGATGTTGACTGAAAACGGGTCACAGGAATGCAGAATGAACTGCACTCTTGTGATCCATAGGAGCAGTAGAGCCAAAAAAAGCTTCGGTCATAGTTCTCCTTTAATTCAGTTCTTTCTTTTTCAGATTTGGCAGACATTGGATGAAGTAATATCAATGATCAACAAACATGCCTATAAATTTTGTGGAGGAAGTAAAACTGGGACAAAGAGTTAACGGCAAAAAAAGGTCAGAATGATTTAACTCTGTACAGAGCTGATGTCAGAACACCTCAGAAATGTTGACCTATTTTGGGTGAATACCTTCATTGGATGCTTAGAGTTATGATGCCATTCATCCTTTGCCTGGCCTTGTAAGGGGAAATGACCTTACAGCTGTGCACCAGGCTAAAATGTGCAACTTTCTAGATCCTGTAGGGTTATTTCCTTAGCTGTTACTCAATTGTCTTTGGAGTATATTTGATAGTATATCACTAACTATGGTTGTCTGGCGAATCGTTGATTTTTATTGCCATGGATTCATATGGATATTGACCACATCTGATCCTGTTTGCTTCTAACAGAACACATTGCTACATTGCAAATGAGGATTTTAGTTGAAGACCTTCGTATACACAGTATGTGCCAATATTCACCTCATGCAAATAATTATAAAGGCATGGTATAGAGCAGTGGTTCTCAACCTTCCTAATGCCGCGACCCCTTAATACAGTTCCTCATGTTGTGGTGACCCCCAACCATAAAATTATTTACTCTTTACACATTGGAAATGTGTTGTTCGATGGTCTTAGGTGACCCCTGAAAAGGGTCGTTCGACCCCCAAAGGGGTCGCGACCCACAGGTTGAGAACCACTGGTATAGAGGAAGAATGCTGGCAAATGAGATTGAATCTGGGCATGGAAATTCTGTGATTTTAATACAGCCAGTGGAAGGTTCCTTTTCATTAGAGAATATGGAAAGTTCCCAAGTCAGTAGATTATGTAGAAGGCTGAAAAAACTTTCAGCTGTCCTCCACATATAATCACATGCGGTATCCCATGCATAGCTCAGGTATTACCACTACATAAATACTTCGTCAAACTGCTACCAAAATTATCAAATTAGTATGAATTATCCAATTTGTTATACATTACCTGATCAATTACTTTAAATATACCAAACGCTGCCCCTCTTGCTATAGAAAAGGCTTCAAGGTGGGAAAATGCCTGACCAATACAATAGCTGCTCATCACAACACTAAAGAAAACCTGTTGGAAAAAGAAAGCCCAATAATAATATAATAATAGTTCTCTATCACCCTGTCAAGACTTGTA